GGAGGCAGAGCCAGGTGGATCTCTGTGAGTTCGAGGCCAGCCAGGGCTACAGAGCAAGATCCAGGACAGGCACCAAAACTACACAGAGAAATCCTGTCTTAAAAAACACAAATATAAATAATAAATAATAATAATAAATAATAAATAAATAAATTCCAAGTTTAGGATAGCAGTTAAGAGTGCTTGCTGCTCTGGCAGAGCGCCCAAGTTGGTTCCCAGCCCCCACACAGATGCCTCACAGCAACCTATAACTCCGATTCCAAGGGATTTAGCACCCTCTGGCTTCAGTGAACACTTGCATGCACGTGGTGCACATAAACTCCGTAGACACACACACAGAACCACGGATGAAGATAAATAAATAAACCTTAAAAAAAACATCTTCCAAACTCATTTCACTTTGAAAAATGAACAAACATGACTTCTTAAAACAAATGAATATTAATAATTTGAAGTAGATGAGAAAAATTTCAATCTTAATGCTTAGTTCAAATGTAACCTAGGAAACAGTTTTGTGTCTGTCTGTCCATCTGTCTGTCTGTCTGTTTTTGAGACAGCATTTCACTATCTAGGCCAGTTTTAGTTCACACTCAAAATCCTCCTGCCTCAGCTCCTCAGTACTGGGATCACAGACATGCACTATTACACTTTGCTGTAGAAAACAGTTTTGCTTTTCACTGGAATAATGCGTCCCGTGGTCATTTCTCCGGGCTCTCCGGGCTGTTGTTACTGCGACCGTATCTGATATCAGTTGCGTGTACACGTGCCACGAACCACCTTTAGGGGTCTGTTCTCCCCGTGTACCACGGTGACTGCACAGATCTCACCCAGGCCCGCCGGTTTGTGTGGTAGAGGCTCTTGTCCACTACGCCATCTTGGCAGCCCTCTCCAGGCTGCTTCAGAAGCCGTGAGTTATTAATATAGGTAGCACCTGAAACTCCCCAATTTGTAATAAAAGTCTGAGGTAGGAATGGAATCATCCCCACCTGTGTTCCTCTATTTTTCCCCTCGCAGACCTCCTTCCTGTCCCCTGAGAAGTAGGAGGGCACGGTGCAGTTAGGAACTTGGTTTTGAACTCAGGTGGAACTGGAAATTAGTCCACTCTCCACTTCTAGACATTTCCCTACGTGGGGGACTCACCTGCATGGGCCTCCATTTTGTCATCTGTAAGAGGAGGCATTAGAGTGCCTCCCGGGAGGGGTCATGGAGGATTCACAGGGTTTCTGGAAAGCAGTCAGCATAGTGCAGGGACTAGGTGATGGGGAGCACCCGGGAGTACACAGTCATGAAGGTGGCACTCGGAAGGTAATAGGCTCCTGCCATGGTCTCAAAGAGGAGGAGACCTTTCATGTGACCAATGGCACAAGTATAATGTACTGGGCATCCATGGGGGAAGCACTTCACACAAGAGCTCCTGAATCCTCAGCGTACCCTGAGCAGTGTTACCAGGGGCAAAGGGAAGCATGGAGACACTGTGTGATGTCCCCAAGAGCACACAGCCAGGAAGAGGCAAGGGGTAAGAGTGGGTCTTCCAAAACCCTGGCCTTGGCCAAGGGGAGCCAACCATAGTGCATTTGGGGCCTCTATGTAGTAGTTCCCTGTAAGGGAGGTCTAATCCCTAGCCATGGAAACAGTATTTAGGAGTGAAGGAGGCTATGTATGTCTCCCCTGCCCAGGACTACAGGGAGACAATCTCACCCCTATCCAAGGCCCATTTTGTCTCCAAAGAGAGTGCAGAGAATCTCCCATCCTGTTCTCAAGAAACACTGAGACCACCACAGTGGACTGCTTCTTTTATACAGGGAGCCAACCTTGAAGTATAGCTTTGGAGGCTGCTTGCTGCCTTCACCCCTAGCCACAAGAACACGGACAGCCAGACAACAGGCCATGTCGACACCTTCTGAATAGCAGGCATACACCTGGAACCCCAAGGGCTCTTGGTTCTCCATGACGCTTCCTTAGGATACCTGCTTTAGGATTCTCTCAGATCTTCTGCGTTGTAGTGAGTGGTGTGGACAGTAATGCAAGGAGGCAGACGTTCTCAGGCTACTCTGCTGGAGGGTGAGAGCATGGGTTATGTGCCCCAACGTTCTCTGGGCGACAAGCAGTACGAAACGGACACTTAAAGTCTACAGCTGGCACCTGGGGATGTGCGTCCCACCTCCACTTCTGCCTGGGGCTCTGGCGCTTACACACCGTGACTTGGGTAAGTTGCTCTCTCTTCGCTTACCTTTCCACAGTAGGACTAACGCCATGGCCGTGGCGAGGGTGCGGGGTGGGAAGGAGGGCAATTCTGGGCTCGGTGTGGGGTTTCCAGGAGAACGGACTCTTCCGCTGGCCCCTGAGAGGCCCCAGCAGAGCAAAAATGTAGGACAGAGGACGCAGCAGGGGACGACTAAAGCAGGATGATTCACCTCCACTCCGTCCCGGAGTCCACAGGACGCCCTGAATTCCACTCATTTACAACAGGCCCACAACTGCTGGCCCAGCCAAAGTGGAGTCCAGAGTTGGTGGCACAGGGACGAATGAGCACTCGTCCAGGGCTCCGGTAAGCACAGTCTGGCGAGGACAGTCACTGGTCCTCCAGAGCCTCCTAACCGGGCTCGGGGTTCTGGGATTGCAGGCCCTGTCTTCGAAAATAACAAGAAAAGATGACTGGGCGATTCGCATGCGCAAAAGTGCAGGAGACGCGGGATACCAAGGGGACTCATGGAAGGTGGGATTGGAAGACAAAGAAGGATGAATTGCCGAGAGGCTAGAGATCACATAGCACAGTCAAGGGGTTCACAGTTTTGATTTTTCAGTGAAATCTCCTACCCCCGAGGGTTGCTTCAGCAATCGCGCCCCAGAAGCTACACCAGGGAAACAGCTGTGAGCTGCACCACCATTGCAGAGACGGTCGCTAGGCAACGAGCCCCGCCTCTAGTTACGACCCGCTCGCCCTCTCGTGGCGGCATCCTGCCACTGCATCCGACTCCCGGGGAGGCTGGCAGGTCGGTATATTCTTGTAGCTTAGCGTTAAAACTGGGTGGCAGCCCCGACACCGGACCCAGATCTCTTTCCACCCTCCTCGGCTTAAGTCTGGCCCGTTCTACCCATTCCAGTACCCGTGCTGGGTAGCAAGAAGGGGGAAGCTAGCCAGGCGGGCAGCAGGTCCCAGTGAAGATGTCGGTTCTTGTTCAGAGAGGTTGGCAGCCACATGGGCCAGCAGGGTATTCGAGGAACATAAATTGTACTGACCAGAAGGCTTCAGGGTACATGCACCCCCACTTCAAGAGAGCCATGACTGTGGTAGGCCTCCCAGAATAAAGGGCAGCTTCAGACTGACAACGTGGGGTCCCACAGGAGGAAGGCAAGCCTCCTACCTCAAACCAGTGAGGGGGTAGCATTGCAACAGGCTGCCTGCCTCACTTGGTACCCCCAAACCAAAAGATGTTGAGCCATCTCTGGATCGTGGGGTGACAGACCCAGTTAATTGAGAAACCCTCCCAAATTCCTGGGCCCCTGTGGGCAGGAACCCCTGCGGAAGGGACTTTCTCAGAAAGCTAATACCCTTCCCCACAAACCCCACAACCTAAGCAAGCGTCCTGTCCTTGATTTAGTCTGGATGTGGGTCCAGGTGCAGTTCAGGCCTAGTCTTGTACTTTTGTGCTGATGAGACATGAGAAACAATGTAATAAAAAGGCCAGGCCACTGACTCAGCTCCACTTTGCTGTACTGATAGGTCAGGGATCCTGTGAAGGCAGAGTAAGTGATGCTAAGCAGAGAAGGCAGGTCTCCTCCCATAGTCCCGAGTTCCTGAAACACTGTGGCCCGGGAGTAGGGCCAGCACGGGGGAGGGAGTCTGACAGTTGGCTCCGTGGGCTAGCCTGGTCCAGATCCATTGGAGCACTGGGTCAGGCTGAAGTCGGGGCTGCCCTGCAGGCCTCAGACTGCTTTTACAGGGTCTGCTCTTGCCCCAGAGAGCACTTTGTAAAGCAGTAACTGAATCACTCATAACAGTGCCTGCTCTGGAATCTTTGAACAAGACAGACCCTTCTGTCGATCCTCATACTTGTTGAAAGAATGGGGTATCACTTCTTAGTGACCCTGATGCACTGATCTGGGCCCCAAGAGATGCTTGGACTCGTGTGGGTTCTCGGATGCAGACAAGACTGTGTGGTCAGTGTGTTTTCCTGGGTACCAGCCCTTTCCTCAGTGAGGATCCTTCGCTCCAGCCCCTCCTTCCTTCTGCCAAACATGGAGGCTGCTTAACCTATTTCTTACCCCGCTCTTGTACCTCAACTAGGCTTCTCTGACTAGTCCCCCCCCCCCCCCCCCCCCCCCGCCCCATCTCTGCCCTGGTACTGTGCCCTGGTACTGGTGCCACTGGACTATCTGTCCCTCCCGACTGATGTCATGACTCTCCTGGGCAGAGCTGGGTACTGCTGGGTCCAAATCCAGTTAACGAAGGCTTTTTTTCCCCTTCAAAACTGGAGCATGACCTGGGGCCTCACATGTTAGGTAAGCACGGCACATCGAGTTTTATCTTCAGCCTGCAACAGGGTTGCTTTGTGGATGAAGGAACAAGTGTTGAGAGAGACAGGAAAGGAGCTCAGAATCCTTAAACAGCAGAATAGGATCAAGTTCTGTTTCTAAAAACCACGTTCCTCTGTAGAGACCACAGAAGGAGCTGGCGTCGGGGAAGATACCCTAGACATTTCAAAGCGTTTGCATCTATTCCTTAAACTCTCCCTGCTTCACATCATGACGGTAGTGGGGAGCCTGAGGCTGGAGGCTCCCAAGTTTGGGGCCAGCCTGGGGCACTTAGTGAGAATAGAGAAGTGGAGCCTCCTGCCTCAGATCATTCCACTTGACTCCTAAGGGCAGGGGCAGGAGAGGCAGGCCAGGGAGATTTGCCTCAGCACTGCCGACCCTTGAACCCAGGAGCCCCGAGCTCCCCATCCAGGCGCTTGCCCAACAGCCTTTTGCGAGAATTACAGAGACGTCTTCCACAACGCTTTCTAATGCTCACTTTATTCAATGCTCAACTGTCCTCAGAGAACAAATTTATGCTCTGAGAACTGCTTCAGTGCCTGTGAGTTCCCTACCATAAAAACATCCAACACGAAAACTAGAAATTTGTCAATGAGAAAGGATGCCTATAGATGCTTAAGCGTCACGGAGAAGTGAAGTGGCCCCGTTGTCAGGACGGTTCCTGACTGGACAAGGACCAGGGGCAAAGATGGGGTGCTGCAGACCTGCTGTCAACATCCCGGTCCCTGGCACCAGCCCTGCCTAGGCTGGGAGCTTTAGTGTTTGTGGTACCCGGCCCTGGGGATCGGGCAAAGGGGGCTGAAGGCTGAAATGGATGGTGCCTTCTGTCCCGCGCGAGCCCTGGGGAAATCAGAGGCCACCTGTAGAGGTGAATTTCATGAGTGGCATGGCCCAGGATGGTTAAATTCATTCCTAACCTTGTGTTTCACCAGGCTCCATTCTTCAAAGGCCCTGCCCCACCCGGACACTCTCTCCCTTCATACACCACTTTAACACACACACACACACACACACACACACACACACACACACACACAGTCCAGAGACCCTTGGAAACCACATTTGTCCTCCTATCGTGAAATCAGAATTAGCTGCCATTTTACATCTATCAATATCCTTCCTAGATATAGAACATGAACAAAGGTGAAAAAAATAATTGCTGCCGAATATGCCCCTCCCCGCCCGTGGCCTGCCGGTGGCCAGCAGCTTAGTTGGACTGCTCCTGGGAAGAGTGCTGGCTGGGCTCGGTGAGCGCCCTCACATCCTGATCATCTGTAAAGGACAAAGAAAGACATAAGAAAGAGGCTGAGTCACCAGTCCTGGGATACACACGTTCTCCAGGGCCTTCTCTTGTCCCCGGGCTCCTGTGGAGGGTGACTCTGCTTTCATTTGCTGGGCAAGAGACTGGCTTCTGGCCCTGGCCACACGGAACAGCCCTGAGTCCCCCAGCCAGCCTGGCTCTTCCTGGCTGGTTTCTCCCAGCTCTGAATCTCCACTTGCCCTCGGTCACAGACGATCGGTGAACATAAGGGGCAGCTAATTTCCTGAATGCCCTGCTGGCTTCTGGCTGCAGTTCACCCTCCGAAGAGTCTCACGAGACAGAGACCGCTATCTGGCCGCTTTGGCAGGTGCTGGACCTGAAGCGCCACAGACAGCATGAGTTTGCCCAAGGTCACGTAGTCAGTACAGACAAGACCGAAGTGTGTGCTCAGGCTACCAGCCAGCGAGCTTCAAGCCATGCTACACCAGCCACACGGCAGGTGTGCCGTGGGCTCCACTGCCCTTTTCGGTAAAACTGGATAGCACCGGACTTTGCCTGTTCCTTGGACAGTTTTGATATTTATATTAAAGAGCTTTTTGAATTTGCCAACTTTTCCCAAATTGCAGGAGGCCCAGAAGACTGAAAGGACTAAAGCCTCAGAAAGCTTGAGACCGGGCTGGAGAGGCGGCTCACGGGTTAGCAGCCTTTGCTTCTCTTGTGGATGACCTGAGTTCAGTCCCTAGCTTCTATCTATCTGTGTTGGACCACTAACTGCCTGTAAGCCCAGCTCCAGGGGACCCGCTGCCCTCTTCTGGCCTCTACAGGCATCTGCACACATGCGGCAAACGTACATATTTGTACACACACATTTAAAAAAAAAATCTAAAAAGAAAATAAAAAGAAACATCAAAGCCAAAAGGGCCCTCAAAAAACAAACAAACAAAAACCAAATAGAGGTGGTGTGACAGCGAGATGACTTAGCTCGCAGGCACAGAGCGGTCCCCGACCCTCAGTCACACATACACGAAAAAGAGCTAAGTTTTTAAAATTGAGTTTAAAAAAGGAAGAAAGGGCTGGGGAAGACAGCTCCGTTGCTGAAGTGCGTGCCTTCCAGCATGAGAAGAACCTGCCTGTGCTCCCTGGGAGCCCCGGGAGGCATGCCGGCCAGGAGGGTGGGGACAGGGGTCTCCCAGCTCCCTGCAGCCACGCTAGCCTAGTCGGTGAGCTCCTTACAACCTCCCAGCGCGGTTACAGACCATGGGAGGGTGACGGACAGCGCTCAGCCCAAGAGCCCTCTCCACACACACACACACACACACACCCCTCCTCACAGTCTTCCCAGCTCATCGGAGCTGGAGACGCTGCTCTCTTACTGGTATCCTCCTTGTCTGTGTCATACAGGATGGTCAGTGAGAAAGTCGGGGGAGATGGCGGCGGTGGCGGCGGGGCCAGTAAGTGGAGGGCAGAGAGATAGCCCGACGGGAGGAAGTTGGACTGCTGGGGTGGCTGCGGTGGTGGAGGCGGCAGCGGAGGCGGTGGTGGTGAGCAGTAGGTTGGCTGGAGGTCCCGGGCTGGTTCTGACACCTGCATGGACACATGGAAGGAGGGACAGAGAGGGAGACAGTGAGCCAGGCGGGCTGATCAACCACATCTTTTATTTCTCTAATGGGGCGGGGGAGTTCCCATGGGGGCAGAGACCCTGCTGTGTACAGGGCACTTGGGACAGGGGTGGTCGGCAAACACCTGCTACAGGAATGAAGGCAAGCGGGAATGCAGCCATATCTTAGCTGAGCCTGGGGACCTTCCCGAAGGGACTTTGGAGACCAGAGCTCCCCAGGGTGTGGGGCTTGGAGGAAGGAGAATTGCTCCCTAGGTCTGCCCAACTCCAGGGGCTGGGCACTCTTGGGGAGAGGGGACTAGAGGAGGCGCACACAGAAGCACAGAGTAGGCAGGGACAAGGGGGTGTCACTGGGTGTGTGTCAAGCCTGTGCGAGGGCGGCAGCACATGAGTGAGCATCATCTGCTGGCTCTTAGGTTTGATCTAGATGTGTGTGTGTGGGGGGGAATGAGGATGGGGGGAAGGGGATTGTCAGCATTCTAATTCCAAGTCTCTCCTTGGAACACAGCTTCTGCCTGGGGCCAGTGTGACAGCTCAGCCCCAAACACGGACTGGAATCGCATCCTTAACAAAAGTGTCTGGTAGACCTGTCGTGGGTCAGAGCCCTGCCCTGGGTGCCCAGTCCAGGCTTCCGTGTGAGCAGACGGGGTGCTGCTGGTTTCACTTGGCCCCCGCCTCTCTGTCTGCAGGCTGGTGACCCCTGCTCTCCTGGGCTGTAATGGGGGCAAAGGGAGCACCCCCATCTTTCAGGCTGGGCAGTAAATGGTGCCATGAGAGTCAAGAGCCAGGTTTTCTCTGCCTCTGAGACACACTCTGGGATAGCAGAAAATACCTGGGCTTGAGGCAGGGCATCCCGGAAGCCATACCAACCCGTGTCCCGAATGCCAAGTCTCATTCACGAGACCTGTGGCGTTGGTGTTCAGCAGAATAAAGGCCTTTCTAGCAGCTGTCTTGCATGAGCCAAAGTTCATGGTCACCCCTGGGGCTCCCAGTGCCTTTTGGCCTTCAACTTTAAGGAGCGGACATCACAGCTCAGGCCTGGGGGTGCAGACCCGCCTGTGCGTGCACGCCTAGAGACCCCCCCCTCCTGACAGCTGGCTCTAGGGGACCGAGGACCGGGGAGAGTGGTGGGGGCAGCTGGAATAAGGACCGACTCAGAAAGGAGCTGGGCTCTGACTTACCAAGCTGCCTCCATGGTAGGGGCTGCAGGAGACATGACGGAAGCTTCTTTGTTGAGGGATCCCCAGAGCCGAGGACGCATCCTGGCCCTCCGGTGGGAAGGGCTGGTAGGATGGCATGGGGACGCAGGCAGGGCACTGCTGGAAAGGCTCTCTCTCGGGGTACCCAGCGCCCCCGACATGATCAGAGCTGAATCTCAGAGGATGCCCTGGGAAGACAAAGAATGAGAGAACTGTTAAGAACACAGACCCGAGGGATCATTGCTGTCTCCCGGGGCAGGACAAACGGACATAACCGACAGAAGGAGTCTCACATCCCACCCCATCCTGGGTTCCATTATACTTCTGTACGCGTATACACAACGCATTGTGATCATGCTCATCCCTCGCCCTCTCATTCCCGCTGAAGCTGGGGTCATTTCTCCCCTTCCTACTTCACTGTCTCTGTGCTTGTGTGTGAACCAGCAAGACTGACGAGGGGTGCCTACAGGAACAACGTGGGAGGCCACACCACGGAATATAAAGTGTCTCCCCCTTGCTCAGCAACTAGCAATTGCCTCCAGATCCTCAGAAGGGGGGGCACAGTTCTCATGAACCTAATCTTAAGCAGGTAGTAGGCGCCGTGAATTAGTGAGTACAACAGCCAAGTTATGCCCACCCCTTCCTGAGGTTCTTAGTGTAATGTGAGACTTCTTAAGTCAGGTACGTCAGTCTTGCTGTGACCCGGGAGACAGTGATACAAAGCTTGCTATTCCCTGGGACCCAGTGGAAGTGATACAGGGATCCCATCTAACCTTCAACGGTCACCTCTCCTCAGCACCTTGACCACTTAGAGGAGTCTACAGCAACTGCCACCCAACACTAACAGCGAGCCTCATCTTACAGGGTGAGTTCTGGCACACTTGTGCCGAAGTGAGCAGTGAAATTCTCAGTTCCCTCCTTGGTGTGGCATGGTGTTGGGGAGTGAGTGACAATTGGCTCTGGCAGCAGGCTCAGTGTTCCACAGTGCTGGTGCACCAAGGGGAGGGTCTAAGTCTCTGTGAGGTGGTCCTCACTCAAGTTCTGTTCCTGTCGTGTGATGTGGCCAGACATCCCGGGCGGTTCCCACCGCAGTCACCGGAACAGCGATCCTCCTGCTCATTTTCAACCTCACCGCCCTTGACTCCTTGGCCACACTCCTTTGTTCTTTCCCCCATCCAAAGACCTTTGCAGATGCTGGGTCACAGCTGACTCACCAGTCACCAGACCTCTCTACATTGATTAGCAGGATTCTTTGAAGAGCATTATCCTTCCCGCAAGGACAGGATTCCAGAAGGCAAGGAAGGTATATTAGCTACTGTGGCCAATACTCAGGGCAGTTTAAAGAAGGGATGACTTACTTTGGCTCACAGATTTCTGAAAGTCTGGCACTGAAAGAGCCTTGTCTAAGGTTATACATGAGCAGCTTGCTGACTCAGCCTTTGAGACACTGTCATGGGGAGTTGCCAAAACCACGTCTACATCTCAAGGGGCATTTTCCAAGGGCCTCAAAATCTCCATTACTTGAAATCGCACTTTAGAGTCTGGAGAGATGGCTCAGCGGTTAAGAGCACTGGCTGCTCTTCCAGAGGACCCAGGCTCAATTCCCAGCACCCACATGGCAGCTCCCAACTGTCTGTAATTCTAGTTCCAGGGGATCCGACACCCTCACACAGACATACACGCGGGCAAAACACCAATGCACTACAAATCAATTATTAAAAAGAAAAAAGAGCCGAGCCGGGCGGTGGTGGCGCACGCCTTTAATCCCAGCACTCGGGAGGCAGAGGCAGGAGGATCTCTGTGAGTTCGAGGCCAGCCTGGTCTAGAAAGCGAGTTCCAGGAAAGGCGCAAAGCTACACAGAGAAACCCTGTCTTGAAAAACCAAAAGAAAAAAGAAAAGAAAGGAAGAAAAAGGGAAAAAAAATCGTACTTTAAACGTGAAAGCAAGGCGGCATAGGAAACAATGTAATTTACGCACAGAGTGAGGCCAGACAAAAAGCCGCAACATCTTGGGGAACCAACCATCCCCTTCGGCCTAGTTGCAGAAAGGCTTCATGCCCACCCACATCCGGTGAGACAGAAACAGTGAGCGCAGGTGCATTGGGCCAGACACAGCGGTTGGGAGAAGCTTCGGGGCTCCGCCAGGCGAGAGCAGGGTGCGCAGGCGCAGTCCAGAGAGCAAATTCAAAAAGCGTCTCGGCGGGGAGAAAAAAATGGCCGGCGGGGGTGCACGCAGGCGCAGGAGGGCGGCTTGGGCGGAGGGGGAGGGGATGAGCCGCCGGCGCGGGAGGCCCTGCCTGCCTTCCCCAGAGGGGCCACAAGACGGCGCCGCAGCCCAAGCAGCCCCGCTGCCATTTTTGCTTGCAAAAGTACAAAGGGCAAGACGACTGCATCTCAGACCCCCCCACCCCTGCCCCGTCCACTCTCTCCCACCCACCAGCCTTTGCCCATGGCCACCGGCAGCCACCCACCCCGATCCCTGTCTGGGGTTACCTGGGGAGGGCGCCTTCCCCACCCCGACACCCGTCTGGGACGCCAGCTTGGAGCCCGAGGCTGCAGGCCCGACCGCAGGCCCCAGGAACCGTCGTCGGCTGCACGAGGCCGGGCTTACCGTAGTCGGTGAACGGCAGTCGGGGCGCGGGCCGCACCAGCAGGCGCTGCTCGGGGCCGCAGGACTCGGGCCTGGGCGGCTGCGGGCTGGCGGGGGGCAGCCACGCGGAGGGACGGTCGTGCGGTCCCCCCGGGCTCCCCAGAGCAGGCTGGAAGGTGCTGGGGCCCGGGCGGCCGCCTGGGACCAGCTGGAAGGCGCTCGGGCCTGGGCTGCAGGCCTGCGGGGGCCTCTCGAGGAAGCAGGTGGCCACGGTGCCTGGCCCTGCGCCTCCCGGAGCCACCCTGGGCAGTGGGCAAAGGCTCGAGCTCGAGGAGGCGGCGGCGGCAGCAGCGGGGGCCGCCACCGGAGCCCCAGGAGGCAGCTGGGGCCCCTGCGTGCCCGCGGTCGCCGCCTGCTCCTCGGCCCCTTGCGTCTTGAGCACCTTCTGGGCAGCCATGATCTTCTGGCGCTCGGTGATCAGGTAGCACTTGTCGCAGATGCACTGCTTCCAGCGGCACTTGCCCGCATGGCCCTTGACTGGCACCAGGTAGCCATGGTTCCGGCACCGTGAGCACTTGGGGGTGCGAAGCATCTTGTCGTCCAGCTTGGCAAGCTCCGCTTCCAGACACAGCCACCACCTCCGGAAGCTGCAGAGCAAGTGAAGCAGGGATGAGCGGTGCCCCACAAGTCCCTGGTGCTGGGACATTTGGATACACTTGTAACAAAACCGCTCGCAGAGTCCCCGGAACTGCAATGGGGCTCTTGCATTTTCCCCTCTTTTTTGGGGGGGTGCAAAAATTGCAGCATTTCTGTGTGTTGGAGAGTGGGGTACTGAATAAATTAAACATGGAATACTTATTGTATGTATGATGTCATGTGGGTTATTTGAAGTCTTCGGTGCTTGCATTTTCAAATTTTCTGTTCCCGCCAAATTGTAACCGGAAAACAGTTTGAATTTTTTTTTTTTTTTTTTTTTTTTGAAAAAAGGCGCACTGCTCAACGGTCCAGAGTTTTAAAACTCGTGAGAAACACAGGTGTTATAGTAGACCCACTCCATAGGAAAGTTCCAGAGGGGGCAATGTTTCTCTTCCCTGAAGCTGCTGCGTCTGCCCTCATCTCTCTCCTCTGCATGAAAAGGAGACGCCATTCTTTCAGAATATTCTTCGGAGCTTAGTGCAGTGTGGTGGTTGCTTACAGGATGCCCTTACAGAAATTCTGAGGTTTTGAGTCCTGTTAGTGTCAAGACTCGTATCTGAAAAATGTGTGCTTAATAATGTTCTAAAGTATTCGGGCAGTGGTGGCACATGCCGCATGCCTTTAATCCCAGCACTCCGGAGGCAGAGGCAGGTGGATCTCTGTGAGTCCGAGGCCAGCCTGGTCTACAAAGCAAGTTCCAGGACAGCAGGACTGTTTCACAAAGAAAATCTGTCCAAAAAACAAAACAAAACAAAACAAACAAACAAAAAACCTAAAGTAAAAGAAACAAGATATTCTGGAGCTAGTGTGAATTTTGGGTTTGGTGTGAGTGTGTGTTTCCTGTTTTATAGGTCTTGTAATCATCTTTATGAAGACAAACTACTTACCAGAATCCTTAGCTACTGCAAACACGTTGATGGAGCATGCATACTGCTTTCAGGAAAGGGGATGATATAAAAAAACATCTTCCTGAGACACCTGCTGATCCAGGGTGGAGCACACAGCAAGGCGTGTGCAGACCTAGCTCGGGGTGGCTTGCACCTCCAGGATGGCATCTACACCCAGAAACTGCAGATGTTACAAGGAGCCACAGTCTGACAGTCTGCTTGGCTTGTGACAAAGAATGGTTCAAGTCCATTCCCTCTCAGAGAAGGGCAGTGCCAACCTTGCAGCATAATCATCCCACCCAAAAGACAAAAACCAGCAAAACACACAAAATAAAATTTAAAAAAAAATTTAAAATCTCTAATAACCCAAACCCACACAATCAGTCATTTAAAAAACAAAACAAAAAAGACCTTAGCATTTATTTGTTTCTTTGTTTGAGACAGGTTCTCACTATACAGCTCTGGCTGTCTAAGAATTCACCATGTAGACCAGATTGGTCTTGAACTCACATAGGACTCCGCCTACAGAGTCATGGGATTAAAGGCATGTGCCACTACACCCTGACTTTGGCTCATTTTTTTTTTTTTTCCCAAAAAAATGTTAACCAGGCCAACTCAGAACGTCAAAAACAGATTGGCTGTGTTGACAAGATCAGAACCTAACCACAAAAGTGGGAATGGATGTCACTACACAGTGCAGATTCCCTGAAGCTCCCCCAAAGTCTTAAATTTCCTGAGCTAGAACTCTATTTATTTATTTATTTATTTATTTATTTATTTATTTATTTGGCTTTTTCGAGACAGTTTCTCCGTGTAGTTTTGATGCTTGTCCTGGATCTCGCTCATGTAGACCAGGCTGACCTCAAACTCACAGAGATCCGCCTGGCTCTGCCTCCCGAGTGCTGGGATTAGAGGCTTGCGCCACCGCTGCCCGGGAGAGCCAGAACTCTTACTCCATGTGCGCGGCATTATCGGTAGGATCCGTGCCAGCTTCGGTCCGCAGCGGCCATCCTGACTCCGACTGCTGTAGTCTGGAACCTCAGCAGAAATCCCTCTGGGATCTGGGCAGCCTCTGCCCACTGGCCCTCTGGAGAACGCACTGCTGTGACCCTGTGAAAAAGAGCTCAGGTTCCAGGCAGAGGTCCCTGGCCGTGGGATCAGTGCTCAGACAACTTGCCCGCAAGGGCGGCTTCAATGTCCCGCCGGTCTGCACGCTTCCAGTTCACCTCCATCACAGCGCTCTCGGCATCCTCCGTGTTCTGGAAGGTGGAAATACCGAAGCCGCAACCACCACTTAAAAGAACTGTCTACTTTGAGAAGATCTACCCCGGAGACCGCTCACTGGTGCGGAAACTCAGCGCGCCTCAGAGAAGCGCGACTTTGTCTGATGTGGTGGCCGTGGCTGAGCCAGTGAACCTGGTAAGTCCCTGCCTGACCCAGGTCGGGGAGACCTGGCCTTAAGTGGCCAGAGCCTCCTGATGTGAGAGTCTGGACTGTTTTTGTTTGTTTTCCAGACAGGCTTTCTCTGTGTAGCCCTAGCTGTCCTGGAACTCACTTTTTAAACCGGGCTGCCCTCGAACTCACAAGAGATCGGCCTCCCAAATGCCGGGATTAATTAAAGGTATGTGCCACCACTTCCCGGCGAGTGTGGACTGTTTTAGTTCTCGTGAATTTAGTTATCTCTGTAAAGCAATCCAAAATGTGGAAAGGCTGGCCCAGACTTCCTAGGGGTTTTGTGTGTGCAGGGAATGGAACCAGGGCTCCTGCATGCTAGGCAAGTTATCCAACTATAATCCCACCTTTTCTTTTCTCTTCCTTCCTCCCCTCCCCCACCCACCCTCCTTCCTTCTTTCTTTGACTGGTGAAATGACTCAGGCTGCCCTGGAGCCAGCTCAGTAGCCTAGCTCGGCCCTGAACGGCAGATCCAGCTCACTTAAGTTCCCCTGTGCTTTTGATTACAGCCAGGTCCAGCTACAAATATCAATCAGGGACATTGAATTATTTATAATTTGTTTTGATAAAAATCTGCGGCACTCTTGAGGGATGTCATGGTGGGGGGCTGTACTAATACCTAAGCTGGAAAGCTCTGGGCAGAATCAGTTCTCTTTAAGGAGATATTGATGCTTGCTAGCTAGTTAACTCCAGTGTAATTTTCATTCCCTGTTCTGATGCCCGCATGGAGTCGGCCTGGATTTCCCTGAGCCTGATGGCACCACTGGGGGGGGGGAGGGGGAGAAGTTGTTACCTCTTTAAGCGCATCAGACCCTGGAGAGCTGAAAAAGAGTTCAGAACAGTCTTTGCTCGTTTGAAAAGAAGTATTCTTCATCTTTGGAAGTGTGCAAGAGCATGTTCCTTGGGTTATTAGTCACTTCGGGAATTTAACAGGTAGCTGGCACCATTTAAAGAGTCTAGGTTTTAGCCAGCAGGTCGTGGCGCACGTCTTTGATCCCAGCATTCGGGAAGCAGAGACAGGTGACTCTGAGTTCGAGGCCAGCCTGGGCTACAGAATGAGTTTCAGGACAGGCACCAAAACTACACAGAGAAAGCCTGAAAAAGAAGAGGAGGAGGAGGAGGAAGGGTGGTGGTGGTCATCCTCTAGGTGTCTGGGTTTGTCTGCCCAGCTCTAACACCTAATCTGTTCATCTCAGATTTTAAAAACAGGCCCCTTAGATAAAGGGTAGGAACTCTCTCTTCAACGCCACCCAATTTCAGACTGTCTAATTTTTTCACTAACCTTGATATTTAAAAATAATACCTAAAAATCATCATTTCAGGATCTCTGGTATCAAGAACTGGGCAGGGCACTCTGAGGCTGGATGCTTGTGACCATGCATCCTTCCCAGAGTGTGGGCATTAGTCCTGGGGGTTCATCCTCACATACCAGGCCAAAAAAAAAGCTTTGGGGACCTTCCATGATGGTCCCTTGGCTTTTTCTCCCTAGGTTTAGTTGCTGGGGGATCCCCATGGCAAAGCTGACTCCCAAGCCAGCCAGACTATAGCAAGTTACAGCCTTCAGAGCTCTGTGTGATGCTGGATCCAGAGAGCCAGGAGGATCGTACTTTGAGGAAGGCGACATTATCTGTATGACTCATTCAAGTGATACCAACTGCAAAGGCAGGACTCAGCTAATTCCAAGCAGCGTGGCTGAGCAGGCAGAATCCACCGGCCACCAGCTGCCTGGCGCTCCAACGTGAGGCAGTTTGAGCTAGATGAGTGTTTGTTTGGACAGCCCAGTGGGTGTTAATGGCTTAGATAAAGCTGGAAGCTCTGCTTTGTACTGGAGTTGCCGTGGTCAGCACACAGACATAGCGGAAGTACTGTTTACAGAGCCAAACAGTGAACAAAACAAACAGGATGAGAAAGGGAGACGTGGCTTTTCATGCCGATGCCCAGAAGGTTGTGCAGACATTGTCCAGCCGCTCCTGGCAGAAGGTGAGAGCAGACTTAAGAGACAACAGGAAGAAGCTGGTCCCCACCATGGCCACCAATGCTGAATGTGTCCTGGAAAGGGACAGGAAACAGATCTCATTGGAGTACTATGCAATGCCCAGGGCCACTCTATAACAAAAACGTTTTGATTTATGTGTATGTGTATGTGTGTGTGTGTGTGTGTGTGTGTGTGTGTGTGTGTGTGTGTAAGCCAGAGGTAGACACTAGGTATCTCCCTCCATCACTGACCACCTTATTTTTTGAGGCGGTCTCTCGCTGAACCTGGAGCTAACTAATTCATCCAGACTATCTGGCCAGCAAGCTCCAGGGATCTTCCCATCTTTGTCTCCTGAGCCCTGGGATCAAGGCACATGCCCTTAGCTTTTTACATGAGTGCTGAGCATCCAAACTCAGCGCTCACGCTTGCTCAGCAAGCGCTTTACTGGGAGTCACCTCCCCAGCCAGCCATCCCGCCCCAGCAAGGTTATCTTGATGGAGAAGACTTGGATCCATTTCTCTCTGGAGTTGCAGAAAGACCTAATTCCTCTGCTTTAGCTGTCCTCCCTAAACCTTGTTTCCCTCCCCAAGGACCCTGGTAATGTGATCTGTGTGAGCAGGGTCGCAGCGCACTGAGCCTGAGT